TAATTATCAACTCTCATATAACTTGAGAATACTAAAATGAAATTCATTGATGGGGGGTGGGGATATCCTGTATTACTTACATAAGTACTTGGAACCTTACAATAACAATTCAGAGGAAGGACCAGGAATTGTAACAAGAATTCCCAAATCAAGGTTCCAGCCCTTGAGGGTGGATCAGCTGCTGACTCCTTCACTGTCACTCTGCATTCCCTGGTGCTTTGCCAGGCTCCCTAATTCTTTCCCATGGTGAAGGCTTCAGGAAGCTAAAGTTTCAACTTTTTAACCTGGTGTTTCCTGTTCTCTTTAGATTGGTGTTGTGCTTAGTTCAAAAACTGCCTAGTTCAAAAAACTGACCGGTGTTTTTACTTTCATTATGATAGAAACGGAGAAGTGAACCGTTGGTGTTCATGTTACTTTTAGTTTACGGATCATTCTGCTTGGAAGTTTAAGCTTTAATACAGAGTGAACATTGTGGTCTCTTGGTGCCCAAGTGTGTATTTATCATTGTGTCTATGAACAGGTTCCTGGTATAAATTTACCTGTCAACCAACTGACCTATTTCTTCGCTGCAGTCCTCATTAGTGGTGTTGTACATGAAATTGGACATGGGATAGCAGCTATTAGGTAATGATATTTACCGTTTTCTTTCTACTACATGCAAAGAAGCTTTTCATGTAAGAGGGTTTATTACTAAAATCTGCTACATTTGATACTTTTTCTTTCTGTGGATATTGCCCAGTGCGTATCCGCCATTATTATTATTATTATTATTTATTTTATTTTTTTTGGTGAGGAAGATTGGGCCTGAGCTAACATCTGTGCCAATCCTCCCCTTTTTGCTTGAGGAAGATTGTTGCTGAGCTAACATCTGTGTCAGTCTTCCTCTACTTTATATATGGGGTGCCGCCACAGCGTGGCTGGATAAGCAGTGCATGTGTCCTGCGAACCCCGGGCTGCCGAAGCGGAGCACACGAACTTAACCACTATTATTATTTTTTTAGTGGGCTGGCCCCACCATTATTATTTTAAGATACTTGTCTTTCTTATAGAGGAGATTAATGTATTGATGAATATGCTCAATTAACCATGTGCATATCTGTAATCTGGGTCTTTCTATCCTTTGCCCTTTGCCAGCATGGTTATAGTCTCATGCTGCTTCAAGATTTTCATCCAATCCTGAAACCTAATCTTTGTCTTTATCATTGGGTCAGAATGATAACCACTGCACTCGAAGCCCACCCACCTGCCTTTTTAGTACTTTCTTTGGCTTATCAGCTGAAATACTTTGCTGCTTCTACTCAGGGCCTCTGCTGGCTAGAGCAAGAATCCTGAAAGCTCTGAGTTTGTTAACAAATATCATAGCCTATCTAGAAACCCAAGTGGAAGAAGATAAGAGAGGATGAGACCTGGGACTTGCTTTGAGTATCATGCCCTGTTCTTGTCTTGACTACCCAAATGTATGTAATTATACCTGAGCATTTTATTTTATTTTGTGTGTGTGTGTGTGTGTGTGTGTGTGTGAGGAAGATCAGCCCTGAGCTAACATCCGTGCCAATCCTCCTCTTTTTGCTAAGAAAGACCGGCTCTGAGCTAACATCTACCACCAATCCTCCTCCTTTGTTTCCCCAAAGCCCCAGTAGATAGTTGTATGTCATAGTTGTACATCCTTCTAGTTGCTGTATGTGGGACGAGGCCTCGGCATGGCCGGAGAAGCGGTGCGTTGGTGCGCACCTGGGATCCGAACCCGGGCCGCCAGTAGCGGAGCGCATGCACTTAACCGCTAAGCCACGGGGCCGGGCCTACCTGAGCATTTTAAAGGCTTCTAAACTTATAAAATCGTGATGGGGTAGATGGTGAGTCACAACTCCCCTTCACTCCCACTGATAATTACTGCCATAATGAACACACATACTGATGGGAATGTTTTATCCTTTGGGTGTGTGGACCAGATAGAAGGTTTTAGAGGAGAAGATTTAATCACTTCTTATTACTTTCCAGTTGCTTATGAACATGAGTCTATTGACTGGCAATAAACCCTCATCTTGACAGAGCATATACTGTTGTACAGGTGTGCCATGTAGTGGTTTAAGTGGGCAACTATTTTTTAAAATTTTTTTAAATCTCTTTCACCTTTGCTTCCACGCTTTTAGTGTTGCAGCCTTTAGGGTTTTACATATAAAAGCATTGTTATTAACAGTTTAATAATTCACAATATACTTGTGAAACAATGTAATTTTTTATAAAATCCCAACTGCCAAGAAAAAGTGAATTTTATAGTCATATATTTATTACTAAGTGACAGCACAGTATGTTTAGGTGATGCTTTTTTTTAGAGTAGCTGTTTGGTCTTATGAAGCTATTAAGTGTAATTTGATTTTTAGAGAATGAATTGATAAATAATTCTCTTAAGGACAATCTGAGCATTATGCATTTTTAAATGTACTTATTTTAACATTAATTCAACAGGAATACACTTAGATAAACCTCCACCTTTATAATAGCTAAGACAAATATAAACATTTACATAATTTACTTAAATTATATTTTCTACTGTGTCCTTCTCTGAAAATAATTCAGAGTAACCATAAAAGTATTTTTCATTCAGTTTCTCATAGAAATATTAACTTGAAATTAGTTACATATATAAATAAATGGTTATCTGCTCACCATATGGGTTTCTAAAAATTTTGAAGTTGTAAGTCTGTTTCAGAATGCCCTGTTTTAGCAGTTTCACAGATAACCAAATCTGTACACTATTGTAAAATTATGATTATATATATATCATATATAGGTATAATTTTTTTGACTGTCCATAGAGACTCATTTTTTAAGCAAGAATTTGAATTACAGTGGGAAGTTTTAAGATTACATACATTATTAATTTGACAAATGCAATACTAGTAGTAAATTCCTTTTTCTTATGTGATTTCTTAGGGAACAAGTTCGATTTAATGGCTTTGGGATTTTTCTCTTCATTATTTATCCTGGAGCATTTGTTGATCTGTTCACCACTCATTTGCAACTTATATCACCAGTCCAGCAGCTAAGGATATTTTGTGCAGGTAACAGACTTAAATTTCTTTATTCATCTGTGTATTGTTAGTGGTTTTATGGAAAGTACATCACAAATGAAAACATCTCATCATTTGGTTGATAAATTCAGTTTATAAGATGCTCAGTCAAAAGTTTAGAGCAAAATAATTTACATTGCAGTTTCTTCATTAAAAACAACTAGAAACAAAAAGATTGAAAGCAAAATCAGCATAACATACCATGCAAATATGAACAGAAAATATGACAAAAGCATTAAATTAGACATAGGGGCCACTTAATAATCATAAGGAGTATAATCCACAATGAAAATGTAATCGTTGTGAGTCTTTCTGTATCAAGCAACAAACCATCAAAACAAAAATGGAAAAAGTAAAAGGAAAAAAACAAATTGTAACAAAGGAGGCTCATCTCATCTCTCAGCAAGTGGCAGATAAGTATGAAAAAGTCAGATCGAAGCTCTAATTAGTAAGGTAAAAATCAATAGATATGTCAAACTCTATGCCATAACAGTTTCTTTTCAAGTTCCCATGAAACTTAAAAAAATTGACCAATTTAATTCAAAATGATAATTGCAGTATAATTAAAAATGATAATGAAATAATGGTCAAGTTTTGCTAAATGTAAAATTCACTGCCCTAGGCAGTTATTATGAAATAAGAAATGAAAGTAAACCAGTTAAGCATTCAACCGAAGAGAAAAATGAGAAAAGAACTATAAAATAGTTAAATGATGTAATTAGTAAGGAAGGATATAGGCAGAAAATAATAAATTAGAAAAAAGAAAAATAGAACTCTTAAATCCAAGAGTTAGTTCTTTGAAGGAAAAAAACGATAAGAGAAAGCATCTATCGACAGAATTAGCAGTCAGATTGGGGAATGACAACTGATAGAGAGAAAATTAAAATAATTATAAGTGTTCTTTGTTCATCTCTGCAAAAAATTTTTAAAAACCTGGATAATTATAAAAAAATATAAATAGCCTAAATTAACCCCAGAGGAGATAGAAAAAAAATCTAAATAGTCTAATTACAACGGGAGAAATTAAGAAAGTAATGAAGAATGCCCCTGAAAGTTTCATAGGTGGAATTCTCTCAGATCTTGAAGGAAAAGATTTTCTTTTTAATTCCAATTTAGTATAAACTTTCCAGACTGCATAGAGAAGAAAACTAAGCATTTTTTTTTAAAGCCAATGTAACACTGATACAACGTCTTGTAAAGCACAAAAAAAACTCTACAGACACATGGTGTTATCTAAACAATGCAAGGATGGTTCAACATTGGGAAATCTATTTGAATGTGGTAAACATTATTTACCATTAGGGAAAAAAAAATCCTCATCTCAGCAGATACTGAAACGGATATTTAACAAAATTCAACATCGATTAATAGCTAAAAAAACAAAAATCCTTAGTAGAAGTAGAAATAGCTGGATACTTCCTAATGGTATAACACTTAGAAGCATTCCTATTAAAGGACAAGGCAAGCAATCCCACTGTCAACTATCGCTGATACTATCAAATGGTCTGTAAATGTGGGTCCGTGCAATTAAATAAGAGGAAAGAAAGAAGAATAAATATTAGAAAGGAGTGAGCCTTTTTTTTCCCCCAGATACTGTTATATACCTGGGGCGGGGCGGGGAAGGCAAGAAAATCAACGGAAATAGAATACAGAAAAATTCAGTGAAGAGCCTAGTTACCAAATGAATATTCAAAAAACAATAGCTTGCTGGGCAGAGCTGGGAGGTGGGAGGTCTAGTGCGTGCGCGTGTGCGTGTGTACAAGCGTGTGCACGCACTTGCCGTGGGCAAGGAAGCGCATGCGCTAGGCATATCCATATGCGTATGCGCCAGGCGTACCCAGAAGCCCCCGCGTCTTCCGCATTTTTGGGTTTGCAGTCTCAACCGACCGCACCTTGCAGTGGAGCTCGCGTCTTCTTCCGGAGCTCGCGCTTTTCTCCCTCAGCCTTGCTTTTCCGCGGCCTTCCAGTCACCCACACGCTGCCCAGTGGCCACAGCTTCTGCGGAGCTCTCAGCCATGGCCTCAGAGGAAGCTCTCTACATCGCCACAGAAAACTCGGAGATGCCTGTGGAGGTACGCCAGATCTGTGCGGAGACCGTCCCTGTGGCGACCACGGCGATGGGAACCGTTGAGTACGAGGATACCAGCGGCAACTGGATCCACGGCGGCCACCACCATCCACCTCTGATCGCACTGCAGCCGCTCATTATCAACAACCCGAACCAAGGTGACGAGGAAATGGTTATGGTGCAGACGCAGGAGGAAGTGGTGGGCTGCTACGAATCAGACAGCAACCTCGAGAATCAGATGACCGACCCAATTGATGAGAACGACTACTTCCAGCAGACCCTGGCTTCCTTGGCAGCCTCCGCGTCATCATCGGCCTACGGCTGCGGCAAGAAGCGCAGCAGCCGCGGCAAGAAGCGCAGCAGCCGCGGCAAGAAGCCCAGCGATAAGAAGAGTTACACCAGCAGCGAGGCCAAGGCCGGAAGCAGCAGCGGCTCCAAGACTGTCAGGAAGAAGTGGGAGCAGAAGCAGGTGCAGATCAAAACCCTGGAGGGTGAGTTCTCCGTCACCATGTGGTCCACAAGCGATGAAAGAGACAATGAGCCAGAAGGACAGAACTCACCTCCTGATTACTCAGCGTACATGACGGGGAAGAAACTTCCTCCTGGAGGAATACCTGGCGTTGACCTCTCAGATCCCAAACAACTGGCAGAATTTACTAAAATGAAGCCAAAAAAAACCAAAGAAGATGCTGCAAAAACAATAGCTTGCCCTCATAAAGGCTGCTTAAAGATGTTCAGGGATAGCTCTGCTATGAGAAAACATCTGCACACCCATGGTCCCCGAGTCCACGTATGTGCAGAATGTGGCAAAGCTTTTGTTGAGAGCTCAAAACTAAAACGACATCAACTGGTGCATACTGGAGAGAAGCCCTTTCAGTGCATATTTGAAGGCTGCGGAAAACGCTTTTCCCTGGATTTCAATTTGCGTACGCACGTGCGAATCCATACTGGAGACAGGCCCTACGTCTGCCCCTTCGATGGTTGTAATAAGAAGTTTGCTCAGTCAACTAACCTGAAATCTCATATCATAACACATGCTAAAAACAAAAACAGCCAGTAGGGAGAGAAGACCCTTCTCAAACTCAGGAAACATCTTTCAGGAGTGTGACTGGAAATAATTATGCTTCTCTTTTAGAGTATGTTGTTTCTAGGAAAGAATTTTTTTAAATGATTCCTACACATCTAAGGGTCATGTTTTGATAGAATAGTAAAAATTTGAAAAGTAAAAAAAGTAATTATATAACATTGTTAAGATGCTCTGTCTTGTTGTGTAATACCATTTGAAAAACAATGTTTGTGTAAAGTTTGGACCCAGGAGGAGGAGGAGAATTCATGAACTTCACATGAAAAGACAGTTCTTTATACAGCTGTGCCAAAAATGGGACTTCTTTTCACATTCTTTTAAATATGAAGTTCACTTATTGCTTACAATTTTAAAAAGTTCTGTATTTTCCAAATGTTCATGTTTATACTTTTAGGAATATGTTTAGTAATTCTATGTATGGTTCTTTGGAGGTTGATAACTTTACTTACAGATTTTCTTTAAAAGAATGAACAGTTATAAAAAATTTAAAAAAATATAAAAACAGTTGGAAAAACAAGAATGAACAGTTACATGCATATGTAAGGTATTACCCTGTTTTAAGAAGTTACATAGGTTTTGTTTGCTCTGTTAATTTTGGTTGTATTTTTTGATGTTAACACATTTTGCATAACTATTTTAGCTGCATTGAATTATGTGGTATTGAATATTAGATGTGACTTAATAGTATTAGTCAATTTAAACCTATTTTAGTCATTTTATTTTCCTCAGATACTACCAAGTGCTGTTTAGTGTGATTTCTTTGCCTGTCAGAGAGTGGTGCTCAGTTGTAGAATATATTGTGTATATATTGACTTTTTAATGCTCGATATGTACATGTTATGTGATAGAAAAAGCAAAAATAAAGTTCGTGTTCTAAAGAGAAAAACTTGTCTGTATAAATACCATAGCTAGAAAACAGAGAAAACGGGGAGAGTGCTACCGGCATCTGGTGGGTAGAAACCAGGGATGCTGCTAAACATCCTACAATGCACAAGACAGACCCCCCACAACAAGGAATTGTCTGGCCCCAAATGCGAATAGTGCCACTGTTGAGAAACTCTGCTCTAGAGAAAGTAGAAGTTGTAACAAAGATTCTTTTGGTATACTTATAAACTAAACAAATTATTAATGGACAAGAGGTTGTTTAAATAGAGGAAATGTGTGTGTTCTATCACCCTCATTGGCACTTAGCCATCATGGGCAAATCTGGAATCTAGAGGGGTGATCTGGTACCAGCTATATTCCTGACAAGAGATAGGAGGCTGCCCAGAGAGTCAAGGTATCGATGCTGCTGTGTGCCCCACCTCACTGTTGTTTCGATGGGAAAAGTCATGGTTGAGTGGTGGTATCATCCTGATAAGGGAGAGGTAGTGAGGGTGCAAGCATCTGGGCAATCCTGAGGAGTTGGGGGAAAAGCTGAATTAAAAATAAAATTATAAATGAAAAAGCAAAATATAGTTTCTGATAAATAGTTTGATACCATTGGTGCTTTTAAAAGTCTCTCTAGGTATAGAACAGAAAAGATTATTTACCCAATATGTCCTGGACTAGACTTGCTCTGGATATTTCTGAAATTTAACAACTTAAAACACTCAAAAAAAAAAAAAAAAAAGGAGGAACATCTTACAATGTGAATATGGTACATGGAACGTGTGTTAGCTAGGTATCTGGCTGCTGTAATAGCTAAGAATAACAGTGGGTTAAACTCACATAAAACATTCCAAAATGCAAGTAGTTCAGTACTGCTAGGATAATTCTATGATTTGGGAGACTCATGCTCTTTCTGATTGTTAACTCTACTATTCCCAACATGCAGCTTCTATGTCACGGACTCAGGTTTAGCTCCATCATAGCTACATTCCAGCCAGTAGGACAGGGATATCCCCATCACTTCCACTCACATCCTGTTGCCCAAAACACTGTCATATGACCATACTCAGCTTCCTGGGAGTCTGGGAAATGTCTTTAGGTTACATTTCTGTAATTATAGAGCATTGGTTCTCAACCACTGATGCTATCACCCTCCTGGGGACGTTTGGAATGTGTAGGGTTGGGGACATTCTTTGGTTGTCTCAGTGACTGGAGAGCACTAATGGCATTTAGTGGATAGAGCCAGGAATTCTAAATGTCCTGTAATGTACGGGGCAGACCTACACAACTAAGAATCACACTGCTCAGAGTGCTAGTAGTGCCCCCACCCTGCCCCATGAGAAAAACTGGTAGAAGAAGGAAAGGATAGGTATGGGGGGAGGGGTTATCTAGTGGCATGCTGGTGAATGTTTAACACCTGGCTCTGGAGGGGGACGTGGGGAGCTCTGATGTGTAGTATATGCTGGTTTCTCTCGTAAATACTACCACCATGGCCAATTTCACAGTGCCAACCTGAAGTCCCTGAAGGAGGAATTGGGAAGAGATGCACACAGTCAGTTGTGGCAAGCTGGTAGGAGCAGGCTCCAGCACACCACTGAGTTCACCCAGCCATCTCTGTATATATGGTGGAGGTGGTTATAGTCTGTGACATGATGTAAGATACATACTCTATTTTTTTAATGCTTAAAAAAAAATCTCTTTTTGCAAGTACCATGTGGATTTCCATACCCCAGTTCAGCAAGAATGTTTTTTATTTCCTTTTAACTTCTATTTGAATAGCTCTGAAGTTCCCTTCAAAGATCACAAGTATGTTTAAATTAATATTGTATACATTTTTGGAAAAGAGAGTATAGTAAGTAGAAAATATTGATTCTGTTCATGTTATATATATCATAGAGGTATATATATAATAGAATGTAGATGCTATTAGTGTTAAATCATATTAGCATGTGGTTTTCGTATTGTAGTATTAACATGCTCATTTTAGATTTCAATATTGGAAATGGAAGAGGCCTCTAACTGAACATTTGTCTGCTGTACTAATAAGTAAGATCTATCTGCCTCACAGCTTCTTCTGGTTACTTTACTAATTTACCAGAATGCCCAGGTGTCATGAAGTCCAAATACCTATATCATTCCTGCCCCTGATTGAGCTTATTTCTTTTTTTCTCTCTTTTCAGGTATCTGGCATAATTTCGTCCTTGCACTCCTGGGTATTTTAGCTCTTGTTCTCCTCCCTGTAATTCTCTTGCCATTTTACTACACTGGAGTCGGGGTGCTTATCACTGAAGTTGCTGAGGTAAATAATGGATTACTTGGGGCATTCTTTCACCGGATTTTGTGATGTAACACTTAGCATCTTATGTCGGGAACTTTTATTCAAGTTCTCCTCTTACAGAATGTTCAGTTTCTCTTGAAGAAATTACTGTAATCCTTTCAAATTGAACAAATAGTTTTGTGAAATACATTGGCTTTTTAAAAATACTGAAAATTATTTCTGTTCTGAATTACAAAGATAGTACCAAGATTTTCTACCTGTAGTTTGTTGATAAAATGCATCATTTACCTTTACTGTTTATTTTTATAACTCTGCTTTTGAGTCAAATGTCTTTACGCCTAAGAAGTAAGTAAGATGAAAGCTAGGCTAGCCAGCCAGAGCATTTTGTGGGAGTTTAAGTTAATGTCTTCAACTCTGTATTTCACTCCCTTAGACAGTAACTACTATGATGGCGTCAAGTCTTCCATTCAGACTTTGGGAAGAGGAAAATTACCTTTTTGAGCAACTGGCTCACATATTTCCTGTGCTGACAGTATCGTCTGCATATTTGGGACTGTGTTTAGATAAGGGCTTGTCTTATAATTTTATCCATTGAGGATATAGGAAAATGAAGGCATTCTGACTACTTTCACAAAAAATTTTAATTAGCAGTTTGGGAAAACTTTATCATTTTAATCTTAACAGTTGGCAAATGGTTTTTTTTTTCAGTTGCGAAAAATTCAAGACCTTGGAGAAGTAGGAAAAGTAGCTATAATTGTTGGGTTTTGTTTTGTTAATTTTCCAGATCTATACATCTTGGAGTCAAAGCTGGGTTTTCTGCATTATTCAAAATATTCTACTTAATTAACTCAGTGTCTTTAACTATTATTTGCTCAGATTAATCTTAGTTTGTTTTCACACATTATCTCATTTGATTTTGCCCTCTTCCCAAGGACTCACCTGCCATTGGACCCAGAGGCCTTTTTGTGGGAGATCTTGTCACCCATTTACAGGATTGTCCTGTTACTAATGTGCAAGATTGGAATGAATGTCTAGATACCATCGCCTATGAGCCCCAAATTGGTTACTGTATAAGTGCATCCACTTTACAGCAGTTGAGCTTCCCAGTTAGAGGTGTGTATATTTCCTCAGTATAATACAATGCTTCAAGTGGCAGTACTTTCAATTCCCCGGTTCTTAGACCATGTCTATAGATTTATTTTGTTCTAATTTCTTTAAAACAAATCAGTTAAGTAATGATAGGTCCAAACTAGTAAACATTCTTCTCGATAAGTTGGATGCTAATATTTATGTTTTATTATATATTGCTGTTGAACTTCTTACTAATTTCATAGTATCATATTTGACTTTCAGGACTCTAGTGTCTAATTCTTTCTGCATTCAAAAAAACTTGTGTTAAGTCAGCATTCAAGCTCAACCATAACCAATTAACTAAATTCCACTAATTAAATACCCCTCTGCTCTATGGATGGTGGCATGTCCAAAGCTATTTGAGGTAGAGTTATTTTATGTGGCAGGCATCCAGAGGAAGTCATCTTGGCATCCAAAAATACCCCCTGAAGTCACATCTGTTGTTCTGTGTAGCAGGTGACAGGGTGAAGCAAGTTTATTCTCAGAAGCCGCCAAATTTTTTTTAGTTCTCTCAGCTCTGAAAAATCAGTCTCCCTACTCTTTATACAAAAACATGGGAGCCCAAATAATTGAAAGTGTTGGAAAATACAAATTATGCTCACAGACTATATCTTTAAGTCAAGAAATGCCCTGGATACTTGTCCACATCTATTGGGGTTAGAAAATATGATTAATAATCAAGAATAACTTTACTAAAGTACTGTGTGTGACAACGGCCAAGTAGTAAGAACTGATCTTTAAAAATATTTTTCAAATGTGATCTTCCATGTATAACCCATTTTTAAGAACTTTTTATTGTAAAAGTTTTTCAAACATACATAAAAGTCA